CCTCTGCTCGCCTCCGTGCTGCTGGATAAAACGCAATGGGAGACGCCACATGAATTCAACCCCAACCATTTCCTTGATGCGGATGGGAACTTCGTAAAGAAGAAAGCGTTCCTGCCTTTCTCCACAGGTAATGAAATTTTTTGATCCCGCACAGTGCCCCTCAGAAGATATTGGCCAAGTGGCAGGATCTGAGCCTCTGTTGGGAACAGCACAGACATCAGTGGTGGGGATGGTTTAGAAATGCCTGCCCTGGGTTTTGATGACTTGCAGACAGCCTCTCAGCCCACACTGGGCGGCACACTGGGCCAGGGTGTTTAATGGCACCACTGGGACCTACAAAAATTCAACACCTTCAAGCAAGAGTTCAACGTTCCCTCTGCCTTGGAAAGGCTGGTTTCTAGGGTGTCCCAGATCAATTCCTTGCAGGCTTGGAGTGAAACATCTCTGTTCAGATGCCTGTAGGAGACCAATGGTGATGGCTGCTGAATATCATGCCATGCTATTTTGCATTTCTGAGGCCTATACTGTCCTTCACACTATTGCTACCAAGTAGCAGGCAAGAGGTGTCGGGTTGAGCCACCACTTCCCCAATCATTCCACCAACAGCCGTGCTTTTGGCATTGCAGGGCGGAGAAACTGCATCGGAGAAAGTCTTGCTACGATGGAACTCTTCATCTTCTTCACAGGCTTGATCCAGAAATTTACTTTTAAGCCTCCACCTGGGGTCAAAGAATCTGAGCTGGACACGACCGCAGAGGCTGGATTCACCATGAGACCCCATCCACAGTGTGTCTGTGCTGTGCTACGCCAGTAAGGCCAAGGCTCTGAACTGAGACAAATCCACGTAGTAGTTTCGTACAGAGCCTAGCAGACGCACTAGAGACAGGTAGTGTCTTTTTACTCAAAGCCTTGCAAATACTGGCTATATGCTTAAAATACCTGTTGAACAAGTATTTTTCTAAGAAGCAGAGGAGGGCTGGTGGGTAAGGTTACCTGGAAAATTCCAGCCAGATACATGACAGGACAGCCACTACTTTACACATCAAATACAAAACATAAGAAAGTTACTCTAGTTCTGAGCTTCTGGGAGAGGATGCTTCTCAAGAGTGGATCATTTCTTCGCCTGGAGAGCAATACTAGATACAAATGTTGGTTGTCATCTAACCCCTGCTCTTTTCCCATTCCCTACTGCACATGGGATAAATTATTCCCAGATACTTGCTCTTTCTATGTCTGATGGATGCTCTCCCAACACTTTCCAGACTTCTGGGTTTGAATCCCAGATGCCAAACGCTGGACTTTTTAGGTTCCCCTTGCTCTGAGCAAGGTTCAAGGAACCTTAGCATGGTTCCTTGGGAGTCGTTGGCCCTTTCTGGGTACAGGCTCTGCTACGCCTGCACTGATGTGCTCTCCCCAGAGAAGTGAAGACACTCCCCTCCCTCCCCTACATTTTTACGAAGGTGGCTCAGATACATAAGCACAACTTCTTTTCAGAGCACCATGTGTGAACAAGCAAGAGTGCAAATATTGCAAAGATACTTCTAAAATGCTCTTTCCTTACGCAGCACAGAAGCCGGGCAGATCCAGGCAAAGTGACAGAAAACCTGTCCATGTCCCCTTTCCTTACTTCTCCCAGCTTTCTGTGAGATTTGTCAGGACCCTATCTTTTCCCAGCATTCCCATCTCTTCTTCTCCTCCTCTGAGATGACTAGAGATGGAGCCTTATCTCATTCCCTTATCAGTGAAGGCAACAGGCCGCTTTTCCAGCAGCTGGCTTCTTCCTTGGTCTGAAATGCTGATAGGACTGCAGTGGGAGGTGGGTTGAGCCATTGCTCCACAGTGTTTGAGCCGGTTAAGCCCTGGGAGAGATCCTAGTCTGCTGTAGGACGGGGAGGAGAAGATTCCTCCTGTTCCCTGCATACTACCTGATTCTTCCAGGTCCATGGTAAAGAAATAGTGCATATGTCTTTGCTCCCAGACTTGCTCGCAGATGAATGCAGTTGGACTGGGGGTGCATAAAGCCTTAAGGCTTAGCTCTGCCCTCCTTAGCTGGAATTTGTGGCTGGCAGGGTGCTTCACCCCAGGAAGGACTGCAGGGCTGGGCTCTCTGTGACTCAGAGGGATCGTGGTGCCATCTCGTGGCAAAAAGAAAATAGAAATTATATTCTGCACAGCGCTTATTGCTCCGGCCAGCGCGCAGAGGGGCTGCAGATACAAGGCAGCCCTCGTTTTACATTATCTATACGGTTGCTGCAATCCTTACACCTGCTCGTTGCCCCTGTGAGAGCAGGAGCCCCTGGTCCCAGCATCATCCAGCCTAGGGATGGCAGGCTGGGCTGTGGGACGTGCTCCCCAGCTGCATGTGGCATGACTTGGATTTGTACTTTAAAAATGAAGCCACCTGTCCTGCCCCAAGATGTTTGCCTTCAGTTCGGGTCAGTGCGTCGCAAGGCATAAATGTGTTTTGCAGCTAGAGGGAAGACCCTTGGGGCCACTGAGGAATGTGGAAATGGTGTTTCCACCCCTGAGAGCTAATGTTTTCTGCTAGATAAATATGTAGCTGAGTCATAATCAATGTTCTGCCATCGTTTGGCTGAACAAATAAATGGGAGGCAGGCAATTTCTTTTGCGGAGATATATTCAGCTGTCTAATTCAGTGTGCTGGGGAGTCATCACTTCCATCCATCTGCTAACGCAGGCACAAGGAGGATGCACTTTTCAAAGGAATCAAAGAAACCTGTTTTCTTTGGATGTTTGCACCTGGTAGCTCATGGCTTTTGTTGAGGCACGGGTATTGCGCGGTCTGCTGAATCTCTGTACGCGGCCAGCACTGCTGCAGGCAATGCTCTGCCTGCCGGGGAGTGCCAACGCAGAAGGTGATGTCCAAAAAGAGCAGGATCTGAAGGCTGCTATGCCATATAGGAAGGGATCCATCTCTCTCCTTCAGAGCCAAGAACCCGAGAGCCCATGGCAAGGGGTCAGGTCTGAGGTTCCACCAGTAAATTCGTGCAGATTTGAACCCAGCCCAGTTTTGTCCCCCGGAGCACTAGATTGTTTTGATTTCTTGTCTTTTGATTTCATATTACTTTTGGAGGGGACTAGAGCAGGAAAAGTCCTAGCCTCTCTGAAGCCAAAGGCAAGTCTTTTTCTTATTTCAGAAAGGCCAAGATTTCCTTCATTGAGTCGATACGTGGCTTGCTCCTCAGTCGCTTTACCTGTCTCTCCCTGCCTTCCCTGAAGAAGACCCCATCCTGCTGCCACCGCTCCTCAAGAGTGACATTGCCAGCAGGTGACACTTTGGGAAGGCAAGAGGGGAGAGGCTCAGGGTCCAAGGCACTAAGCAGAGGGACAGCACCAGCATCAGTGAAGCTGTGGTGGCAACCTTTCATTCAGCCTCTGCAAGCAGGAGTTGAAGACATAAAAGTGAAAACCAAGGCTATCCCCAGGATTATCCCCATAGCTGAGCACAAAGGGAAAGCTCATTGCCCTGGAGAAACCACTCTGCAGATATGGAGGGTCTCCTGTTGAGCTGTTCTTTACTAGGATAGGGGTATGCAGAACGTCTCACCTGTGAGATACAAGTAAAATTATAATACTCAGTGTCACCCTGGTCTCAGGATCAACCTTTCGTTGCATTTGCATTTCTGTGTAATGCAAAGTTGGGTGGCAGGCATATGAAATATAATGAAGGCATGGGATTAAAACTTTATTGGGCTCCCATGAAGAGGGAAACAAATGATACAATAAAGTACATGGTAAGAAAATGCATAAGGAGAAGTGGCAATTCACAGGCAGATAAATGAATGAAAAATCGCCTGAGCTATACATCAACTGGAATAAGATTGTGGAATATGATGGCAGGTAAGAGTGCTACAGACAGGGACAACAGCCAGACAAAGCTTCAGCGGAAAGGAAAACAACCAAAACTGGGTCTTGTCTAATCCCTGATCCCAATTCTCCTTGTGTACGTGTGTGCAATACAAGCACTGTGAAATTAGACGTCATTTGCAGGGAAATTGCATGGCTGGTTCCAATGGCCAGACCATCCCAAATACCAGATTGACTGTTGATGTTGGCTCTTAACATTAACCAGGAGGTCTGAAGAGAGGAACAGTGTTTGCTCCTATTTAACAACATCAGGAAAGACAGAGATGCATGAAACTAGAAATAGGTCTAGTTTATTTTTCTGTATGGTTAGCCTTTTATGACTGGTTGCTGGTACAAATCTCAAGTGGCCTTATGATTTAGACTGCAAACTTAGAAATGTAGATTTTGTTTTCATTCAGACTGTGAAGCAGTGTTGAACTTGATGGTAGCAGCACTTGCTTATCTAAATAGGTTTGCAGATTCTGGGGCATCTTTCAGGACACTGTTCCAAGGCAGAAATAATTTTGTCCTCAAATCACACGAATCGATCTGGTTTTTTCATTCTGTGTTTGACTTGGCTGCCTAGCCTGGTAGGATTTTGCTAGAAGCTATGGATTTTTAGTGAGCTTGGAAAGGTTCAGGAGGTACCTACGGATGGTTCAAGTGTGTGACCCACAGTGTATTTCTGTGGCTTCCAGCAAAGAGCAGTGTGTCTTTCCTCAGGATTTGGGCAGATTTCTGTGATGTTATGAACCTCACTGCTTTGCCATGGGAGCCTGGGTGACATACCTACTACTCATGGGCTACATTCCCTTCACCAGACCATCTCCGTGGTCCTTCCATCAGCTCCATGCACAGTCTGTTTTGAGAAGAAGTGTGTGTTTGTCAACCACCATCATGGTTTCTAATTGATCATACACACCTCCTCACAGCATGGGAGCAAAGAGGGGGTCAGCAACCTATGGGGCAGATGTAGCAGCGGAGAGCAGTGGAGTGGGAGTGGATGGAGACAGTGGGAAGGGGATGTGAAAGAGGGTGATGTGCCAGGATGGGGGAATGGTGAGTCCTAGCATAGCTAAGTTGGGTCTAAGCAGGTTCCCCACTTGTTGGGTTGCTCTTCAGCAGGGCTGTGGTTATTCACGCAGGACAGCACAGGTTGCCTGAGGCTGAGGCCTTAACGTGAAGGTCGTCTGGGGGACGGTAAGGTCCAAGTCAGACTCTGAAACTCCTGGCTGGGGTTGAAAAGTAAATGTCTGAAGCAACCCCACAAAGAAGACAAACAGCTCCATCTTGGCCAGGCTTTCTCCAATGCAGTTCCTTCGCCCTGCAGATGAAAGCAGTGTGTTTACTTGATGGAAAGACCAAACTAGAATGTTTGCCATGGACATGTTAGCATCTGAGATGTTGTGATGGAAGCAGGAGTGAAACCTTGAAAGGCACCAGAGCATTTTGGAGTAGAGGAGACTGTGTTGCTAAAGGTAGCTGTCCCAGTCCCACTGGCACGGTGTGCCTGCCTGGTCTCTCTTGTCACACAGCTACCTGCAGCAGCAAGTCACAGCCATGTTACAGGGTTATTATGCATTTATGAGGTACTCTCTCCTCTCCTTAGCTCTTCCAACTCTCTCAGCATCTTTAACCCTTTCTCTTTGAAAAGCAGCCTGATAGAAAAATGCTACCTCCTCCCAAAGTGGAATGGTTTGAAACTCACTTTTCCTGTGGAATTTTTCCTAACATCCCACTTTTAGAAAAGACTGTGTTTCTTCTTTCCTACCCCTTCTTTGTGCTAGATTCCCAGCCCTTGCACGGTGGTCCCTGTACAGTTGAAGCACTCGGTGGACAGCGAGAACTGGCTTCTTAACAACCAAAGTCACTGTTGAGGGTCTGTGGCTGGAGCACGTTCTGGAATCCCTTCAAGCCATCCTTTCAGAGGAACAGCTGGAAGGTGTAAGGTTACATGGTAGGATTTGTAGGATTCTGCAGGAAATCTCCCTTTATAGCACTTACGGGCTCCTGCAGCGTTGGGATTTGTTAAAATCCCAGCAAGACTACTCCATCCAGCTGTGCCCTCTTGTAATGCACGCTGCTGCAGCCATGGAGGACATGGGCTGGGGGCAAGCATTTCTGGAAATAAGCAACCTTTGGAAGCATTTATGGCTGTCAGGAAGGCACTGTGGAAATGATATTTCTTCTTTTAGGATGGCTCAGGGGAGAGTTTCTGATATCTAACAACTGTTCCTACCATTAGCTCAGTTTAAGTCCCGGGGGGGGGTGGGTTTATAAGCCTCCAGGGAGAGAACGTTAATTGTATTTTGCAGGTGAAGTTGAGATTAAAAAAATAAAAGAAGAACTTTGTGACTTGACCAAAACGACAGTTGGAGGTAGTGTCAGGATGCCAAGTGTCCTATCACCTCCCCCAACCACAGGGCTGTGCTTCTTCCTCTAAAAGAACAGGTCGTGCTGGAAATCCTTGGCAGCTCTCAAACGTGCCCCTGGAACAATCACAGTCCAAGGTGACTTCTGGGAACAATCCAGGGCCTTGGATTTAAGATTTCACAGTGAGAGCAATACGGTTTGGTGTACTCTGTCCTATATTGGGTCTCTGCTGGCTGTAATACCCAGCCAAGGTGCAAGGCTTATTGGGACTCTCTTCCTTGGCTCTGGTGGGCAGTGGATGAGGCCTTGTCCATCAGACCCACTCACACGTGAGCCTTGCCTCAAGACAGGACTTAAGGGTCCCTGGATTGTACCCTCACTTCCAGGAGAGCTCCTGAAACCCCATGCATAGCTGCGCTGGCAGCCCCACCGGTCCTGTCTGATTATCCACCTACTCCTGACAGCTTTCAGGCATTTTTCCACCTTCTTTTGGATGCAATATATCTCTCTGTCTTCTCTCTTGTTGAACCTTTGGGAACCATCATGGCAGAGGTGTGCTCTGAGAGCCATTTGCCTGGATGCAGAATCATTGACTCCATTGCTTATTGACCGAGTTAAAGGCAGTACTTAGCCATGAAGACCCCATTTGTGTATATGGTAATAAAATGGTCTGCCATAGCCTCATCTCTGTGCAGATCAGCCCTTTAGTTACCTGTGGAGAAGGGCAGGAAAGCCTCTCTCTTTACAAAATTCCCTTCGGCATCAAGGAAATGGTTGGGGTTGAACTGATGTGGTGTCTCCCATTGCGTCTTATCCAGCAGCACTGAGGTGAGTGATGGGATTACAATTATACCCTGGAAGAAAAGTACATGAAGGCATAAAAGAAGCAAAAGTGCTCTGTTTTAGTTCATTTTGTGACACAGACTTCAGTGTCCCAGGAGATTTTCTCCACCTGGGATAGGTGGAGACCCTGAGGGTTTTATCGCATTAGCCAGTAGAGAGAGAAGGCAGTGAGATTTTTACAGCAGTGCCAAGGATTGAAGCCAAACCCCACGAGGTGCTGTGAAAACCTCAAGTAGAGGGTCAGATCCTGTAAATTCCCTGGCAGATACTTCACTGTGCAGATGGCATGAAGGAGGTAAATCAGAGTCACTCGTGGAGCGAGGAACTCCTTGGCATTAGAAGTACTGAATTAAGTCCTACAACACCAGTCTCTCTGGACTCAGCATAGTCACTGGAGAGGAAGAAACTCTTCTAGGGGTGATTTTGGATGCTTCTTTGGGCTTCAGTCCTATAATTCCCTTTAAAGAAACTAGTCTTTAATGGCACTAGCAAAAATGAGGAGGGTGACGTGTTCCTGAGATGGAGCAGTTACCTACCTTGGGAAGGAAGTAGCCCCTGAAGTGGGTGTCAACAGCAGTGCAGCGGGGAACGTGGGGCAGGAGGGTGATAAACCTCTGCACTTCATGTAGCACCGCATTTGTAAATGGCATGTTCTTCCTATCTTCATACGTGGCCCAGTTTCCAGCTTGGACGGTTCTCCCAATCTCCTCCTGCACCTTTTCTGGAAGGAACAAACAAAGGGGATGTGCCCCAGCAAGGAAGCCAACTCCCTCCTCAGATTCGGTTTTGGGAAAAACATATTTTTCCAGGGTCTGGAGGGAGAGGATTCTTAAAACAACGGCCTGGGTTTCCCCCCTCTATTTCTAGTTCAGGCACATGGATGCGTTGTTTCCCCGACATCATACCTTAATCTCCACTCATCCTCTCTCCTAGCAAGGCAAAGGGACTATTTTGTTGTGACTTTGATCAGCATCTAATTACATCAGGAGTTCATAACAACAAAGAGATGGGATTCAGCTCTTCAGGCAAAAGAGCTTCTGTGGATCTGAGGCCAGGCCTCTCCCCTCCCCATATCAGCCATGCCACAGACTGGGAGTAGGTAAAAGGAGCTCACTTTGAATCTCTGGGTATTTCATCATCAGCAGGATGGCCCACTGGAGCGTTGTGGCTATGGTCTCTGTTCCTGCCATGACCAGGTCAAGTATAGATGCTATTAAGTTGTCATCATGGAAGAGGCTGTCTTTCTTGTTTTTCTCCTTGAAAAACACAAGCGGTAAGAAAGGTCTTAAAACCATCAGTCTTCATATGCAGCAAGCTAGGGAAATACTGCATAGCCTACAACGCTGTTGACTATGATCTTGTGTTTGTGAACCGGGTGATAAAATAGACCTGATCTTGAAGGCACAGCATTCGCCAAAGATGGGAGCGCCAAAGATGGAAGTTTTGGAGTGGAGTTTTGGTTCAGCATCAACCTCCACCCAGAAGCAGGCTGAAGCCCAGGGCCAAGTGCTGTTCACGGACTCAGCCTCACAGGTTTGGAAAGAGCCTGTTCTCTCCCCTGTACAGAAGATTCAGCTAAGCCTAGCTGCGAGGAACTCCTCCTGCCCAAGGGCAGGTTTGAATCTCCAGCAATGTTCAAAATGACCTTTCAGGCCATTTCTGCTGGGCTTTAGGACTGCACTGATCCTTCCTCCACGTAGCTGGGTAGAATACTTAGTGCCTAAGGTTGGCCCAGATCCAGTTGGAAAGAAGAAAAAACTCAGAGCCCAAATATTTTGTGTTGAACAAAATCAACTGATGTGTGAAACTGCTGAGTCTCTACTAAAGCAAGATGCAGGGCAGGGCTAGGACTTGTACTGATGATTTATCATTCAAGTACTTTAAGTGTATCATTCATCTTGGAGCAACAGTGTAGATGATTAATTGATTTGTTGTCATAAAAAGAAAGGCAGAGTCAGCTTTCATGTGAATTCATGCATTTTCTACTAGGAACAAGGAGTTGATCTCACATTATTAGTGCTGCTGTTTCAGGAGTGGACTGAGACAGTGACTTTCATATCTTAATTTTGATAGAAAAATCCGTGCAGTAAATAACACCAACTCTAAGAGACTGGCATCTGATTTCAATACCACCAGAATAACAGCATGGATTTCCAATAGGTTTACATGCAATGGCTGAAATCAAGACTCAGCCACTGTTTTAGCTAGAAAATCCAAAGGAGACATTGCAAACAGTCAACAGAACTAAGCAGTCAAATACCTCTTGTTGCTTGAATATCAGTGCATCAATGTAGCTCCTCACGCTGTTCTCATTGATATCCTCCCTGCTTGCCTTCATGTATTGCCTTAAAATGACACGTACATCTTCTATTTTCCCAAGCATAATCTTGTGGGTTTTGAAAAGAAATCCAAGGAATGGGTAGAAGTTGAAATACTAATGAGGAATTAAAAAAGAGAAGCATTAAGTCTGCAGGAATATCAGCATGCTGAAACAGCTTCTTCTGAAGGCATGACAGTTCAGTTGCGTTTTGTCTTGTAGTAGTAGTATCTTAGCATTCCAGGGACTTCCCGGGCAGATTTTCATAAACGAGGGCTTTGCAACCTTTGAGCCTTTATTTGGTGCTACCTAATTTTAAGCATTTATGCTGTTCTGTGGGAACAGATCCTCTACCAGTAACAGCCTGGTCAGCCTCACAACAGCTGGGGCTCCAGTGTGCCAGGCCACCACCCAGTTTAGATCAGTATGAGACTAGTTAGTTTTTTCCAACATCAGTTATGAAGGACTGGCTACAATAGTTTGAAGATAAGCAAACTTGGCACTCTCCAAGGAAGCATTTTTAATGCAGTGTGTGAAATCTCACTCACCTAGATATCAACACTGAATGTGTCTTTTTAGAAAATGCAGCAAAGGCAAAGAAAGCCTAGATGGTGTAATTATGTTGAAGAAGCCAAAAAAATATCTGTGGAGCTAAAATAACCATAGGTCAGTTCTCATTTTAGCTCCACACAGATGTGCAGGATGGTTCAAATGGAGAGTAGCAAAGGGGAATCTGGCAGCACATTTGTGATAACCAAGGTGGTACGTGGAGAACTGTCACATTTTAGGTGTAATGGCTGGTTCTGAACATTTGAAAACTGCTGAGCTAAGTCCTATGGTTAGTGTGGCTCACAAATGTAATGTGCCAATGTAAAAAAAAAGTTAATCTGTGGGACAGGTTACATACGCTCAAATATGGAGATCCCAGAAGAATCATAACTTCATCTATGAGTCTTAAGAGAGTGAGAAATGTTGGGTCCTTATAGTCAAACCTGTCCCCAAACAGCATGACGAAGGTGATGTTGATTGGAGCACAGTTGAAGGACGTTAGGCTAAAAGGTTCCCCTGCAATGGGAGGAGGATGGAAATGTTAGTGCGACATTGCAGCAGCGGTGACGCGTATGAGGCTGTAAAGCGCCGTGGTGGTCTCCAGCTCACCTTTGAAGGATTTGATCATCTCGATAAGGAAGTGAAGCTCCTCAAAAATTCTCCCTTCTATCATTTTTTTCCCCATGCCGAGGTTGCGCATGCTGGACACGGTGAATCTCCGAGTTGTTCTCCACAGCTCCCCAATAGAGAAGAACAAACCTGGGGAGGCCGTGAGACGTCGCCGCTGGGCTCATGCACAGAGGACCCCCACCACACGAAACAAAATAGGGGACTGGATGAGGAGGGATCTCCACAAGTGTTTCTGCTGCCCAGTTTCCCATGGATTTAGGGACTACGGGTCTCCCATTTCTGTGTGCCCCATCCATATCATCTCAGTTCCATTCTCCCAGTCTCACTGAGCCTGTAGTTTGGGAAAAACAAGGTCCCACCCAACCCAGTTCGCCCCAACCCTCTCCTGAGTGCAAGATAAGCAAGTATGGCTTTCAGACCAGTAGGGGTTGGCTGTAGGGCTGGGTAGAGATGTTGGTCTAAGTCAATCATGTAACATTTCTGACCCTGTTTGGTTGCAAGTCTAAGGCCTCAAGCAACAACCTTGTATCTTTGAAGCTTCTCCCTTTGTCCTATTCCAGTCATAAAGATATTTTGTCTATGTGGGATGGGACAATTCAGTCTCCTCAACCCTGGTCGGTGCTGAACTGTTTTATTGAGATTCCCAGCAACACTGTACTTTCAGCAGTGGCAAAAATACTATCATTTTGTGGAGGCTGCTGAGCTCATGCCTTGACGATCACTAACACCACCAAGGAGGGATGGGTATTTCATGCCATCAGAGTGTTGGAAATAGTGAAGGACAATATTGTGCCAATAATCCAAAGACTATCTCAGATTGTGTCAGTCGAAAGCCTGGACTCCAGCACTTCACATCTCCATCTTGGCTGCAAGGTTTTTAAATGTGTTTGCTTTTTCTAGAATAAGCGCTATTTTAAAGCAGTGTAGTTTTAATTTGGAAAGCAAAACTTCTTGCTCTAAAAATGTCAAAACAGATTTCTAAACTTCATTTTAAATTTTTCTTTAATTCATGCAATTTTATCTGGATCATTCCTTTCCTGCAAACAGCTTTGGAGTCAACAAATTGGTATTTTCTGAAGAAAAAATGTTTCATGGGAAAATTTGTGACCATTGTTACTTAACAGTCCCTGGGAATTTACAGCTTTGGGTCACCTCTAAGTGGCTCAGTCTTGGGCTGAGAAGGTAAGTGTGAAAGGACTTATAGCACAATACTGACAGTCTCCCACAGGGATATTTTATATGTAAATTAGCTCTGAAAAATGCTTTTCTCCCCATCAATTCCTTTTCCTTGTGTAGCGATAAATTAATCTATTGATATTATGGCTGGCTAATTTAATTTCTAATTGTAATCCCAACTTGAGCCTGTGACCAGCATATAAAGCTGCCTTTTGGATGCTCAAAGCTAAAGTTTCAGCTGAAGCAGAGGATGGAAAACCAAGGCAATAAGTCCTCTGAAACACTCGGGGATACAGAGTTGCCTTGGAAAAACTATGGGATTGTTTGTGGAGGTGAACTTCCAGCCTCAGCCTATTGCTTCTGCCTCAACCTGTTTCACATCGGTCCACCCAAAAGCCTTTGTGGGGAGACAAGGCGCAGGGCACTGCTGATGTCCAAAATTGTGGCACCTGGCAGTGGGAGAAAGGGAAAAACCCTACAGCTCCAAACAGCCAAACCAGTTAGTCCAAAGTCCCCTGAAACCGTGGGGAAGGTCTGTAAATGTAGTGGTGGCGGTGAGCTGCTTTCTTTGACATCTTATGGAAATTAACCCCAGAATTACCACAGTGCCTTTAAAAATCCCACTCCTCACCCTCAAACGTTTAGGATATGGATCAGCCGCAAGTGCATTAGCAAAAACAATGAAAAGCCAGGAGGCATTGCGTGCAAGCGAGGAAAGCCAAACGTTTTCTGTCAGCTTGGCTTCAGAAGGGTCCAAGGGGGATGTTTAAAAGCCGGGCTCCAGGGATGCACAGTTAGGCTGGCACTAAGCGACGGTGTCGTCCCTCCCGCCCGCCCCCGCTCATTTCTCTAGTACCGTTTCCGTTCTGAATTTGGTCAAATATTGGGATGGATGGTCTGTCTACAAACTCCTCTGTGTAGTTCACAAGCGCCTCCCGCACAACTTCGTACCCGGTCAGGACCACAACTTTCTGGAACCCAAAGTGGAGGGTGAAGATGGGGCCGTATTTTTCCGCAAGCTGAAAAAGAGGTGAGCTGTGATGGTCAGGAAGGGAAGGAGCGTGCACAGGGTAAACGCCCGTTGCTTTCTGAAAGGACATATTACGTCCTGGCATCCTGCTGGGAACGGCTGCAGAGCCGCTACCTGCAGAACGGCACCTGTAACCCGGAGCTCATCACTGTCAAACGCAAGGCATTTTGTATGGATGCCTGGCTGGCATCCGTATGAATTTTAGGCATCTTGCCATGAAAGAACCCCCACCCCCATCAATGCATTACTAATCTGGTTTTGCTGTTAAGGAGAAAGGAAATGAAAAACAAAAAAAAACACCTAGAGTTAAAGACTGGACCTCAAATGGCAACACAAATTGGCAAACCGGAGAAAGACGAAAACAGAGAAGACATTTCAGTGTAAATGATGATGCTGTCGCACAGGAAAGCTTTGGTACGATGCTCCTCTCGTACCAAAGCACTCCTGCATCTCTGCCACTAGACCAGAGGAGCTGCTTGCCCCATGCCAGGTGTTTAGTTTGCCCTGGATGACCACAAATTGCAAATCCATGCCCTTCTGCTCGGACCTGGCTTTGGTACCTATAGCTTAGCTGGGCACAGCAAGGAAACCCACAGCAGGAGGAGGACGCTGCCCGAACTGCTGGCTGTCCCCACGCTTGTACACAAAGTGATGCTTGTTTTGCACTGAAGAAGGTTCTGGGTGTATCTTTGCCATAACACAGAGAGGCTCTTTCACTGCCATACACCCCAGGACAAATTCTCCGCAGCTCCCTGCCAAAGCTCTGCCTTGCTGGGCAGTTTTCAAAGGCAACACAGTGCCCCAGGGGGCTGAAAATCCCTCCAGGACCATAACAGTCCCGCTGGCATGTCCTACGTGCGCTCCCAGAGCCGCTGTGCTGTGCACACATCCCCACCCGTCTGTGCCGAGAAAAGGGGTCTGTGGCAAAGCGAGGCAGGCTGACGGAGGAATCCACGCTCCATAAGGACCGTCGTGTGCGTGCCTGCTGCTGCATGCCTGTGTTTTACAAGGGTGAGACTGTCGTCTCCCCCCAGCCCCTGCCTGCGGATCTCCTCGGCACCGTGTTGGGGACCGTGGGAAGCTGACTGCTCCTGCTGACCTCCACCACTGTGGCTGCACCTTGCTCCCCGGCAGCTTGAAAACCGTACTTGGGGACAGCCGAGAAGAGTTTGGGCTGGGCACGAGCAAGGTGATGGGAAGCCACAGTCCCAATCTGCCGCTTAAGCAAACGCAAGGTGTACGCAGGCACCCTCAGCTCGCGCCGAGTCCACCGTCAGCTTTCGCAGGGGAGAGGGGAGCACCCCATCAGGGTGCCCAGCCAACAAAACACTAGTGCCTGCTGCTCAATTGCAATCCCCATTTTTTTGCTCTCTGTGGGGTGAGATGGAGGGATAACCCCTCTGGAGTAATCCGAAAGTAAAGGCAAACATAGGCAACACCAAATATAGCCTAGCAGGTGATGAAAGCATGCGGAGGTAATTCCAAACTGCTGTTCGGAGGCTGCAGCATCGTCTGCCCAGCCCCACTGGGTAAACTGACCCCAGCCCTGACATCGCCCGTAACAGCACCAGGTGCTGAGAGCCTCACCCCACGGCAGGGCTGACCCACCGCTCGGCTGCTCCCCGAGACCCGCCGGTGTTTGCTGAGCACCGGCGTTAGGGGAGCCGTGTCGACGCCTGGTCATGAACCGCTGCTGTTTGTTTGCTCACTCTCTCCCTGACCCCGGTGCACGTCGATCCCCGAGGGTGCAGTCTGCTAAAGCAAGGGGGGAGCGCTCGGCAGCCTGACATAAACACCCCGGGCTGTGCCCGCCTCGTCTTGCGCCGAAGAACAGTTTACCACCGTCAGTGGGGTAAGTTGTCTTAATTACAGGTTAATAGAAGAGCTTACGGGCTATTCATTCTGGTTCCTAAGCGCAACTTTTCCATCCCTCGCTTGTACTGCCGTCGAGATTTTAACGCATATCCAATTCATCAAGAGGGAATTGGATTTTGCAGTGGGGCATCTGGATCTGCCCTTCTCCGAAGCAGTTTTGGGGTCACTGCGTTGTGGAATTCCCCTTGCCAGTTCTCCAGGGCGGAGGAGAGGGAAGCAATTTCACTTCATGTTAGTTATGTCCTAATGCTTTAAAAGATTTCTGGGTGTCCGAGCTGTCAAATTAATATTTCAAATCCCACAAGCATTATATACTTCATGTACCTCATCACAATTACATGAAGAAATCCCATATTACCCAGAGGTCTTTTTTTAATGGTTCATCGCTCATAAATGACATCGCATCAACACAGACATTGGCTAGGAGAAGCCCACCAAAATATTACAAAGCAATTTTCACACCTTTACAATTTAGTTTGAATTAAAAAAAGACAAAAAGCTTTCATTGATACATCTCAGGCAGCTTTAAAATCTATGAGGGTCTGGGTTTGGGAGTTTTTGTCCTACCTTCATTAGTGATTTATCTTGCCTTCTAAGATCCACCAAGTGCAGGTTACCAATGATCGGAAGAGGAGTTGGACCAGGAGGAAATTTAAAAGCTGAATTTTTATAGCCAGTTGAAAAATAGAGTAGAGCTAATAATACCGCTGCACACAGCAGACAAATTAATGCAGGATCAGAGATAAATGAAATTAAAAAAGACATTTTTTTTAGTAATAATCTGTTTGGGGGGGGTTAGAAGCAATAAAAATGCAGTGGCACTGTTCAGTTTCTGCCAGCTGGCTTTCTGTTTGCTCTCTGCGATTGCTACAAGCACTCGATTCTTATTAAGGTTTGTAGAGTACCTAAATAAATACTGCATACTCCACCCTCTTTAAACACCTCAGAGAATGTGGTCTAAGCAGTTTGCAAAGCCTGTCCAGAAGTAAAGAGAGTTTCAAATTACAAACCCATGCATGTGTGTGCAAGAACATATACATGGGAAAAGGTGCTTGGCATTCCTCTATAACCTCCTCCTCCCCCTGAGACCTCAAGGTCCTTTATTAGCAGTACTATGACCCTCCAAACACTCCACTGACACGGGGAAATAAAAAGGTTTTTTTGAATCCTATTAGAAACCTCCACATTCAGATTTGGGTAGGGTTTGAGGTCTCTGTGTTAGTAGAGGGAAAATAGTATTGTTATGGGAGACTTAAGCTTTCTTGATGTCAAGTGGAGATCAAAGGTTGTTAATAATGGTAAAGCCCATGTATCCCTAGGGGTTGTAGACCATAAACTTCTTCATAAAGTCGGCTCTGAACTGCCCAGAAGGGATGTGATTGCAGACTTTGTGTCTGAAGTAGAGGACATGTAATAGCTAGCCATGGAAAATTAGCTTGGATCAAGTGATCATGACTGGATTCATGAGTGGAATGGAAAGACAAAATTAGATTTGAAACTTCTGGGAGGACTCTTCATTTTGCAAGAGTAGCTTCTAAGAGATAGAGGGAAGAAGTTAATGAAATTAATGAAGCCAGCTGACCTGGCAGGCTTCAGAAGGGAAACAAGACAGGAAAATGGCATTATTTTGAGCCAAAGATACAAAAGACCTGGAGCTGGCATCCCTCATAAAGGTTTAAATCTTGTACAGAAAAAAATTGAGATCTACCGGGTTGAATAGAGGTTTTCAGGAGGATATTGGGAATAAACAGCCAATGGAATAAGATTGTCCAGGGAAGAAAGAGCTGTCTTATATGATCAGGAAGTGCAAGGCTAAAGGTACATTTATACAAAGGTTAGCTCATATAAAGGCCATTATTCAGCAAATATGGGTCCTCAGCCTTGCAAATGCAAAGAAGGTAGGGAAGGAAGTGAACCTAATCTGAACTGGGGCATAGCTATGGTTAGCACGGTCCCAGACCAAACGGCTGCTTGGTTGCACGCTGGAGCTGCCTGCGTGGAGTGGAGATGTTACAGCACATCAGCTGCCCAGAAGCAGAAGCAAGTGTGTCGCAACATTTCTGGCATTTTTTTTAATTAGTTTCCAAGAAATGGGCTGGAGGCAACGGTTTCCCCCAGAGCATGCCTAGGATGACTCAACCCTGCCTGCTCAAGTGAGCAAAGCGGCAGAGGGGCTGTAAAGACAGGCAAGGAGGATCAGGGCTGGCACAGGATGGAGAACACGGGCACCGCGATGAGAACTTGCAATGGCACATGCTCTGCGCCCTGTGCAAAATGTGTATTCCTGCAGGGTTTTATTTGACCGGCAGCACCCTGCAGTGCAAAAGTTACGTGTTGCTGCCACTCTCCCGGTATTTCATCCTTGCCCTGGGAGCTGCTGAAATCATAAAAAGGCCTTTCAGAAAGAGACTTAAATTATCTCTGAAAAGCCGGGGGGGGGAGCATATTGGGTTTTTTTAAACCAGGCTCTGAGTGCAATGCATTAAAATGACAAAGGTAAGTCAAGCTCTTGCGATGATGACAAGAAATTCCTGTCTCAGTAATGTGTCTGGTACGTGTTTCGCTCTGGAGCCGCGCTGCTACGTGCTCCCCTGCCCGAGCACACAGAGCCGAGCACAAAACACCTGCCAGGCACTGACACCGCTCCGGGTGCATTCCTGGGGCAGCCGGGCCCCTCAGGGTGCTCGAAGCCGGGTTGTCCTCGGTCCCCCGTGCCATGTGGCAATCCCCTGCCACAGCATGTGAACCAGGTGGTGCTGGTGAGGACGTGGAGCACGGGCATCATCCACCGACCCCGAAGCACAGCCACTCTGCCGCCAGTTAGCCAGCCTGGGGAGAGCCAGCCAGTAAAGCACCAACCCTGCATCCTTTAAATTAACTTAAATCCCCCCAAATCTCTGTGCCTTCCCTGCCGGTCCCCTTCTTGACCAGCAGTGCATCCAGGACTGCAGCCTCAGATAACTCCTGCTGGCTTTTACTGTGATGAGTTCCTTTTAAGCAAGGGCAGGAATCACTGTAAAAGGCCACATCAGAAAGCCATCCAGAGCCATGTCCTGTCTCAGACAGCAGTTGTGATTTTCTGGAGTTAGAAATTCAATTATTTCCTTTGAGCTGTTTGCGGCTATAAGTACTGCTTGCTCTTTGCATTGCTAAACATGTCTTGGCTGCGTGTTGCCCAGGGATCCCTGTGCTCGCCTCTCTAGTGTGAGTGTATTAAAGGTGGTGCAGCCCAACTTTATCAGTTTGACCCAAAATCAACTTCATCCTGCAATACCAGATAGATTAACAGAAACAGAGTAAAATATTTGTTTATTAAGTAGGAGATAAGGTCAGGCTTGCAGTAGTTAGACTGCAAATAGAGCAACAGCAAAATAAACGTAAGCAAGTGTAGCAGCGAAGGCTTTCTTATTACATAGCTTGTCAAGCAGACTCCTTGAGATGTAACCAGAAGCTGGAGCTGTACCCATGGTACAATGCACGTAGAAGTGCAATACCCATACAAGTACAAGGTACAGTACAACTATTAGAGTGTTGCCTTTATTTGCGTGAACTAAAGCTAGTGTGAAGCGTCAGTGTCTTGGCCAAAGACTGCTCTACTTTGTCATCCCTTCGTATTCTCTTCCTTTCTTCCTTTCCATGTGCAGCACAGATCAGCTTTAGATGACAGCAACTTTAGTTTTATGTTCTAGATTTACCGTAATTGCCCCCTCAGTCTCTGGAACTTTCTGTTTCTCCCTTTTTTCTTTTCATCCTAACCTGCCTTTCCTGCCTCCAAACCGACACAAAAGCATCTTCAGTGACTCACTGCTCCCTAGCCCACATGTGGTTTCTTGCCTGTTTCACAGCACATGAAGCAGCCTCCTCTCTTGTACCCGCACCACCATTCAGATTTCACATACATATCACACTTGCCTCAGTGGGTGTAGCCTTGTGGGTACAGCTAGTTGTTCCTACTCTTAATGGCTGCTACATGAAATAAATCATTAATTGTAGTAATCAAACAGCTGCTGCTCTAGGACAGCTGCAGTCCCTGGGGTGTCACCAGTTTTCTACAGAGACCCCCATATGACAAGTTAATCATACAGGTGAGCAACTTGGTAACAAAGTCTAACCTGCTTCTCCTTCCAGACTCTATTACCAGTTTTTACATCTATTTTCACAGTGACTACCTTCAAAATCCTATTAGCCTTGAGAGTGATGCAGGATCTCTGCTGGCAGAACGTGAGCATTATCAGCTCTGAATTTGTTGACTTCGGTTCCTACATAAGTGGCCAAAGCACTTTTTGCAAGTACCAAAATTTGGCCTTGCCGTTCTTATTGCAATGGCCCTGCTCCTGCTGAGTACTGAGCACATATACCTTCCATGGGAGCCTGTGGCAGTGTTATTTACTCAGTAGTGCAGGCTGATCTGTTACTTTGCCTGGAGACCTTGCTGCCTATCCCTGACACAAGGAATGTCTGGAGAGGAAGACAGCTTGAAATGCCAGGGGCTATGTATCTGGTGTAGAGCTGAAGACAGACAGCAACATTTTCTAAAGAGTTGAAGCCCCATTTTCAGTCAAATGGAAAATATTGTCCCTATTCATCTCAACACACCTGATACATGAGACTGACGTTTGAATTAGGAGCCTGTGGATGATGGTTCACCCTGCAGGCAATGGAGAGAGTGAGCAATTCAGACCTTATGGCAGTTAAATCATCCACCGAAGGATCTTCTCTCTCTCTGTGGAGGGTAGAGAGGATCTAGAGAGCAACTACAGCTCCTAAGGTGCAAGCAGAGAAGAGGGCTGAGCCTCTCTCAGCTCTCTGATGGGAACATGGCAGTCCTGGTGTCCAGCCCCAGGCTGCATCACCCTCACACTGCCTCGGGCTTGTGTCCAGCTTTAGCCACGCCGATTCAGAAACTCCTCGCTTTCTGTAGCTGGTCATTTTTTTCCAGTTTAGGGATCTAAGATGGCCCAGTAAGGGATCAGACAAGAGCCAGAGCCAGCATGAAGCCAGGAGAGGTGACGGAGTGGTAGAAATGCCTTTCTTAGCAGAAGCAGAAAGCTGCTAGATTGGCCCCATCATAAACAGGCTCTTCAGCATAAAGTGCCTAGTGCGAGTTGGAATGAACCCCCTTCCCAAACCACTTACTTAGATGTTTTCTGATAACTGTCCCTTGCCTGGCTCTTGGCATCAGCCCATGTTACACCCTCGTGTCTGGGACTCTGTAATAAAGATAAGGCAGGTTGTATCGCACAATGGAAGCTCAGTCTGAGGCTCAGCTGAACAACCGTCCTGGGGAGATTTCCAGATCCATTAAGTGTCTGTTGTCTCCAGCTGGGCCATCGATAATCAGCTCTGCTATAAAGCTTGGACTTTGGGCTGAGAAATTCTCTGTGGAGGCTCTCAGGGGAGAGCCTCTAATGGGTTACATCTATAGAGGAGGCTTGAAGCCATTTAATTCTTTCAAACAGCCCTGAAAACTGCATCTCTGATGGACTGTTCCAGGAATGAATCACACTGTTTCTGAGAGCAGTACTCAGGGTTGTCTGAAGGGTTTGCCTTATACAGACACCGCAAGAGCTGTTGGAAAGAATTGCATGAATGAGAGAAAAATAGCAGTGCCCAGTGTCTTCATTCCCCTAAAGCTCAGGTACAGACAGCTTTTTTCCCCTGTAACTAGACTTGCTTTCAAGCTTGAAGTGTTCACTACTCTAACTCCATGCCATCTGATCATTCATAGGGCACAGCACAGACCAGGTGAGGCATGGGGTTCAAGGTAAAACCAACATCAGCAGTGAGATCTAGGTCTGACTTATCCACTCCAGGAGCAGGTTGGAAAACAAATTTGCGGAGCAAGCCTGCAAAGAAGAG